GAAATAGAATAAAATTGAAAACTCACTTAGACACCAAAAACATTGAAAATAAACTAGATGTATGCACTGCCAATAAATGTATCTCACTAGTGCAAACGAATGAAACGTAAGAAGATTGAATCCATTAAAAATAGAATCAAATTGAAAATGCTCTTGAATATTAAAATATAGAATTGCAGAAATGCACGAGGACAATAGAACATGAACAAATAATATAATAAATTAAATAGTGGAAAACTGACTTCGTTAAGAAAATAATCAGATAGAAAACTCACTAAAACGCCAATATACATATAAAATAGCAAAAATAAAATAGAGCATCAGGACAAAAAACAAACGTGCATAAAGAAAACTAAAGGAAACCGATTATACCAAAATACAGAGAAGTAGAATGGTTGTATACTGTGAAATACATCGGCAACTATAGCGATCCACGTCCTGGATCAGCCATGACCTTTGGGCCAGAACAATCATTCAGTGGCAAGGTAACCATATGAAACGTTCTGCATCGGTCTCTATGGAGACTGCTAGGTAGACAAGAGAACCATAAAATACCGAACACACGTGCAACGATTTGTGTGGGCATTAACGTAAGCCCGACGTCATGAATAATTCATTTTTCGAGTCCTTTGTGACCTTCGCACAATGGAACGTTAGGAATAACTATATTAATTCCGATGTCGGGTTTACCTACGATATTGCTAATGCACTGACGCGGCACTAAAAATAAAACGAAAGGTTGATGTAACTCCTCCTAATGGAACTGGTCGTACACCAAAACCTAGTGATTGATTAACGGCTGTTCAAATTTTAGGAAATTTACGGGAAGTGACTAATATTTTCGAAGTTAAAATTGGAAACGACGATTCTCATTTTTCTCATTTTTGTGGGGACCTTTCTCCAGAAGAAAAGTGTCTATAATTGTGTTCTTGAGCAACTGGTATTAAAAAGGAACATTTGTTTCAATTATTGGAGAAAATAATATTTAGGATAGGATCTGTCAAAGGTAAATTTAGAATGTCCATAATTAATTAAAGAATAGAATTTGCTTTTTGTCCCGACGCTCTATTTTATTTTTACTATTTTATATTTTGGTGTTTTAGTGAGTTTGCTATCTTATTTTTTTCTTAATGAAATCAGTTTTCTACTATTTAATTTATTACCACTGTATACATTTGTTCATATTTTACCATTCTTTTTTCTTTATAAAGAAAGATTCAAATAATTTAATGCTCTAAAATTAGAGGACTTTTTCTCAAAAATCTATAGAAAATAATGTTCATAATAAATGGAGAAAGAATATCTCAACGAGCATGCACAATTAAAAACCAAGCAATATTGAATTAGGCTTGCAAAGAAAAAGTTCTCCCAATTACGAAATCCCAGAGGTCCTCCAACTTAATTTGCACTAGATACTTATCTCCAACAATCAGACTGCGGCCATTTCATGCATTTATGATAAAAGTGCATGGCTGAAATATGAAATTGTGAAGACACAAGTATAATTTAATAATATAATTATTTTATACTATTACTATCTTCAGCTTATTAGAATAATTACAAGAAACAATTTATTTTTATGCGATTTCTGTTTCTCGCAATCGTCTTGGACGAATTTTCCATAAAGATCCACAGTCTACCCATGGTGCACAGCTTATGAACTTGCAATAAAAAATCACGATAATCTCTCGCATACCACTACGAACGCAATCTAATACATTGAAATTCCACTAAACCAATTCGAACTTTCCGAAGTGCATACACCAGAAACTACGCAAATCATGAAGCCTTTATCGACTGCACCACACTTGTAAATCCGTAAGAAAATCAATATAAAGTTCGTATATCGATCGCAGCAGATCCGCGATTAAAACATAGCCGAGAAATTGAATCACAGGTTCATTAGATCGGGATTGAACTGTACGAGCGAATCCTAATTGGGACAGGGTAATAAACAAGCGAGCCGCAAACCAGGAAGATGCATCGATTGCATGGCCGCAGCGAAAAGTAATCGGCGGACCAGTTATCTGCTTATGATGTGTATAAACGAGGATCGTATTAGCGCAGCTCCTGCGACGAAACTGGAGCATTATGCTTGCCTTATGGTTGTTCGGGTTTGAATTACGAGTCGCACCATGGAATTGTCACGGATGGATGAGCCGATACACCATTAGGACCTGCACACGAGAGTCCTGTTACTGCACCGTGAATCGTCCGCATCGATTGCCGACTGCAGTCCGATGCACAATGTTCGCGATCCTACAGACAGAGGATCTTGGAACGAAATTAACAACTGTTGAAACTAATTTTATTGGTATGTTAATAATTTTTTCAAATATGAACGAAAACGTACAAATTTTATTATAAATATATGTGTAATATTTTTAACATTTTTATCGAAATTCTGTGGAAATTTACAGGAATGTTTATTAAACGTTTGTTGATTCATTGCAATGATGTATTTGGTGGATAAAAATTGATCTGAAGGAAAATTCTATAGTAAAGAAAGCTTATAAAAATGTTCAATGCGTGTCTATTAAATTTCTATCAATCGTGATTAACGACTAAAGTAAAACTTCAATCATTTAATTTAGTAAATAAATTTTACAAATAAATATGACGATGTAATAAAATGGTAAATACAATTCTTAACGGAATCACACCAAAATGTTCTTCCAACTTCGCTAAAAAGTCGACGATTATTAATTGTCTCCTTCAATCGACGCTTCACTGAATAATGAACGATTTTAATGAACGACTGGCGATTACCTTCATCGATCGATTCGTTCGTTCGCCGGCATTTCGACGATTAATGGCTTCAATCGTTTTCATCAATTGTGTAATCAAATGAAAAATTTTAATCGATCGGTGTTCAACGCTGGATCGAACACCGTGCGACGCGAGTACGTGCAGCGATGTTACGGTGCACAAACCAGACACACGGGTTCCCCCGAGAGACTCGTCTTTCCTCCCCCCCCCCCTTTTCATGGATATTAAATTACAGCATTTCATCAAAAAGAAAGGCCCCTTTTCTAATCTCCGTTTCGCAGAGATAAACTGAAGGAAGACGCCTGTCCGTCTCCCTTAGCGCAACGAGCCGTTATGCAACGCGAAACCGCGACGATGTGCCGTTAAAAGAGCAGGAAAACGTGATACACGTGATTAACGCATGTAATAAATACACCGAGCGCCGTGTAAACCGTAGGAGACAACAACGGGACACCGGGCGATTTCGCAATGCCGATCGCACGGTTTCTGGACGGGGCTGTTTCGGCTGGCGATGAATTATTCATCCGCCCACGCTCGTCATAACACGAAATTTCTGGGCTTTCGTGTCTTCTTCGCCTCCGCGCGAGACGCTCCGTGAAATCGATCGACAAATATTCATTGGATTTTCTACAAATTTCGGTGCACGATCATCAAAATATTTCATTCGATACCGGAATTGAAAAGTGCGTAGAATTTATTTAGTACACTAAGGAATTTTTATTCTATATTTACTAATATCATTGAACAATGGAATTTAGGGGTACCGTAGGTTGATTTAATGAAAATGCCATGAAAAGAAAAATTCATGGAAATTTTAATTGAATACCTGTTAATTGAACTCAATATTATAATTGAAGAGAGCATAGAATGAATTTAGTAATAATTCTGTGAAAAAGAATAATTAATAGGAATTTTGGTTGAATATCACTTAATTTAATTCAACACTATAGTCGAAGAGCACAGAATGGATTTAATAAGAATTCCGTGAAAAAGAAAATTCATAGGAATTTTACTTGGATTCAATACAAAATCTTCTACAAGAGAAAATTCCTATGAGCTATATGTCGATTTCAGTTAGTATTGCAATTTAAGGCCACAACATTGTTTCACCTCATAGTGGGCGAGAGATGAAGAATCTACTTACAACCTAAAACCTACACATAGTTTTAACATATATCTCAGGAATCCTATCATAAAACCAAACCAAACTTTACAGACGTCTCCTTCTGCACATAAACTACAACCTTCACAGATTATAGCAACTGGTACCCATTCTACACTGTTATATTTGATCAAAATTGATAGTTCGTCTGAAAAAACAGTGTAGAATGGTTACCAGTTCTTACAATCTTTGAAGTTTGCAAGTTTATGTACAGAAGAAGATGTTTTCTTTGATTCGGTTTTATGAGAGGATTCCCGAGATACATGTAATAACTTCAAGTTTTAGGTTGTTAGTAGATTTTTCTTCTTCCTCAGCTTCACGTTTTTTGACCAAGAAATATCAATTCCGATTAAGTATCCTGTTTCCTTAACCTGGAAATATCAATTCTGATCAAGTATCCTGTTTCCTTGATCTAGAAATACCAATTCTGATCAAGTACCTGATCAAGTATTCTGTTTTTCTGGCCAAAAAATAGCAATTTTTATCAAGTATCCTGTTTTTCCGATCTAGAAATATTAATTCTGATCAAGTATCCTGTGTTTCTGTCCTAGAAATATCAATTCTGATCAAATATCCTGTTTTTCTGACCAAGAAATATCAATTTTGATCAAGTATCCTGTTTCTCTGACTTAGAAATACCAATTCTGTTTTTCTGACTTAGAGATATCAATTCTGATCAAATATCCTGTTTTTCTGGCCAATAAATATCAATCCTGATCAAGTGTCCTATTTTTCCGACCTAGAAATACCAATTCTGACCAAATATCCTGTTTTTCTGACCAAAATATCAATTACTATCAAGTATCCTGTGTTTCTGTCCTAGAAATATCAATTTTGATCAAGCATCCTGTTTTTCTGACCTAGAAATATCAATTCTGATCAAGCATCCTGTTTTTCTGACCTAGAAATATCAATTTTGATCAAATATCCTGTTTTCCTGACCAAGAAATATCAATTGTGATCAAGTATCCTGTCTTCCGACCTAAAAGTAAATTTTTGATGAAGTGCCCTTGATAGGTGATAGTAACAGCTCCTGAAATATTAAGAACGGGTAGCAAGTGAAGCTTACCTGTCTACCAGGGCGAGGCAGCGTCTCCACGTTAGTACCGCCGACGACAGGCGCTTTTTCCGGTCCTCCATTCTGCTGGCTGACATTTATGTTGGCATTAACATTCGCGTGCACATTGGCGTTAAGATTGTTCGCATTGTCGGCGACGTTGGTGTTGGTGTTGCCACCACCGGCGACTCCGCCGGTTCCACCCCCGTATTTTCCTTCCTCGCCCGTCATCGCTTCGACCTCACCCTCTCCTCCGCCGTTTCCCTATTCTTCTCAGCGTTTCGTCTCCTAGCCTCGAAGCTTTCCTCCGTTCCGTTCACTGTTCACCAATGTCGGTCCGCTGGCCAAAATCCGGATATCTGCTTGAACGAGATGACGAATCGTCGATCAGCAGAAACGGGTCAATCGGGGGATTACCGAGTCGACTCGGCCCGATTCTTAATATCGATATTCTTCGGCCGACCAACTTCTCCGACAGAAAAACTTCATCACCCACGAGCTAACCTCGTTTAAGACCGTTACGCGAGACTCATCCTGGAAACTGCGCTCTCTACGCCACTGTCCTCTAACTGCGATCCTCTAAATCTAACTCGAGCTGCGACTTGCGGCCAGGGTGTCGTGTTTCTGTCAATACCGTTTTCGACGAATGTCGATATCTTACCAATAATTCGAAATGTCGATAACATTGTTGAAATATTGTCAAGATAATAATATTTATATTATCAACGGGAGGAAATCTCTGCGTTACAATAATATGTGCCAATATGTCGCAGAAGTAGCATATCAGATAGAAAAAGTTATTAAACGAAGTGAAAAATGGAGAAAGTAATAAAGAACGATACTTTTTCCAATCGTTTAAACAATCAACAAGAAGAAGTAACTTTTGTTTAAAGACTTTTTTTCGATCTTGTACAATTTGTGAATTACAGCAATAATGTAAGAAACAGCCGAATATTTCGGGATTACTTTCCACCTCTTAGAGCGATGAATTGATTAAAACGCGCGTGCACAGATTTCTTTTTATGAATTATGATAAAACTATACGATGAATCTCTTCAATTTACCTTAACAATCTTACATTTTAACAATCTTGTCGACGTAACGTTTAGTATGAATCGGTACGATATTAATAATCGATAGTCACATCCCTACTTCTAACCTCACTGCAAAGTCGCCCTAACTGTATCGAAGATCAGATTCGCCAACATTTCGATAAAAGTATATTAATCGATGCCATAAACTCTACTACCAAACCTAGTTGAATTTAGTATAAAATCTGCGTACAGTCAATTCGAACCTCCTTCAGCCTTGGCATATCGATCTAGTCGACAATTCGAAACGACTCGTTGAGATATCGACGAAAATTGAACAAGTGGATGATAAAAATGCTGAATCGCTTACACACAACATCGACCCTATTTATCCTGAATAAACCAACTCTGATAAAACTTGCTATTAAAACTGCACTACGGCTACGCGACAAACTGGAGTCCCGTCAAACTCCGCAGATCAATATCGAGATTCGAATCGGAACGATATCGACAAAAATCGAGAAAATCGAGTGAACGAGAGCTTGAAAATGATCGACCATTTTGCCACTCTATTAACCCTATTAACACTGGTTGAGCATACCGTTAAAACTTGATTAGAATTCATCACGTTCCAACTATAGGTAAATTCGTGCAACAAGAAAAAGGAAGATTAATACCATAGAGCCAAATAAGAAAGCTTTAGAAAGCATTTTTCAACCTAAATAGCTTTTAGGTTCGAACAGAGCCCACTCATCCATTACCCTCAAGCTTCATTAAATCAAAAATACCGAAGAGAATTACTTTCGTTCTGTTGTAGCCGCTATTTTTAGGCTTCTCGTAGCGCGGTACGGGTGGTATAACGGTAAATGACGAGCCAGCTCGAGAGCACATTGGAGCTAGACTTCGCGAAGCACATGCCGATCAAGAAGTGATCAATTACTAGTTTCCACTGGCGATTCAATGACTAGAACCGAGTGCGCCGTTCGAGTCGACGTCGCGTTTTCCGTCCTGCGAATGACATCCGCTTTGGATCGCGAGTTAATTTTAGACCGTCTCACACGCCGGTCTCTGTGACCGTAGCCGACGAAACTGGTGTGCAACCAGGGGACCCGGTGCGTCTTCACCGTGGCAAACGGTGAAGCCGCGGCCGAAACTAGGGGAATTGGTTTCCGGTGACCGCGAGGAATCATGCATGTAGTATCGTCAGTAGTGGAACCAGGGAAAATCGATTCGGCCGTGCCCGTTTGAGCACTGCGCGCCTCTCAAGTGTACGGAACCGCCACAATAAAAGTGGTCAACCGCGCGGAATATACTCGTTCCGAGACGCAAGAATAATGCACACTCGAATATCCCCGGGGAACAATGCTTGGAAGGGCTCTGAAGTTATGGGACTTCGAAGGTGTGACGGCCGATATACCGAAATAAATATCGCAAAAAATCGCGTGCGTCCTACCCTTCGGTAATAGACAGACGAACGTAAATGTCATCCGACAGAAATATATCGTTTTCTGGTCGTCTCCTCGCGTCCCCCTCCTGTTAAGCGAGGTAAAAGTTGCGTCGCCCGCGGACTAAAACGCGAGTGCCCCCCCTCCCCCCTTCCGTGAAAAACGGGAGAATGAGAGATGCGGCGAAATACAGTGAACACGCCTTCCGTGTCAGACCCTGGAACCGACACAATCAATTTGGGAAACGAGAAGCCTTTGAAGCTGTCCTCCCCGACTCCAGAGCGCAGACCAAGTGCGAAGCGGGTTGGGTCGATGATTTTTTATCGAGACCACCGACTAAAAATAATGGAAAACAGCTCTCTGTACATTAGTGGCGGACCGACAGACGTCAAGAGACCCTTTAAATTTCTTCAAACCGGAGACTACCGTCGCAGGCTAGCCGAGTTCACCGCATATATATATATATATATATACATATATCAGAGACTATATATATACATGTATCAGAGACTATACCGGTCTTAGGATTTTTCTGACTAGAAAATGGGTTGCTACAGTCAGCGATAAACACTGCGAGCCCTTTCTCGGCTGTCCGCGTTTGAGCCTATCCTCTCCGTGATTCAGTGGAATAAGCACAGGCCTATCTTCGAGTCAGACAATCTGCCGAACGACTACTCCGTAATCGAAACCTGATGCACCGAAAAATGACGCGACTAACCAGAGAGCCTACAGGGTGTCGTGACGATACTTATAGGATTCCCGAATACCAACCACAGGATACCGAGGCACTTTTTCCATTAAATGTTCCTTCACTGTCAAATCACACGACGTCCCGTCATTTTCTGTATGTTTGCTCTCGCGCGAACCGAACCATACATATATAGGAATATATAGAGATATATATGAGTATATATGTATGTTATTCGAAAGGATTTCCGTCCGTCTAAAAAAGTTCCGAGCTTAACGCGACCGCCCTCCTGGAAACTCCGTACGGCTTTGATCGGTTTTATAACATCGATGGCGACGGGTACGCTCGAAGCGACACCTGGCGATCACGTTCTGTGGATGCTACCCCCCTCTTTCCAATCGAGCTTCACCACGATTACCGCCACACACTGGCTACCTCGCGGACCACACACCAGAAATTCGATCTTTTGTCAATAAAGTACCCATTGGGACAACAAATGTTTCGAGAAACTAGTACCCGTGAAACGCGGCCAAAACGTTGCTGCCGCTCCTTTGCAACTCGATGAAAAAACTATTAGATGAAAGTCAACCCTTCTCGCAGATGAGGAATATTTCAAAAACTGAAAACGGATTGTACGTCGAAGTCTGCAAAAGATACGTGCTGATCTGATTTTACATAAATAGTTGAAGTACCTTTTTATAGATTCGGGAATGATTTAAGCGCATAGTCCTGATGTAAATATTTTGACACTCGTTCGTTAAGGGCTTCTCTAGCTGTGCTATTTAAGTTTTATTGCAAGATTTCTTATTTTGAAAATATAGATCGATGCAATCGTGGCCGAGGATATTTAAAAAGATTTTTGTCGATAAAATATGCGATCGAAACATTGCTATTGCATCCGCATAATACGGTCGAAAGACTGCTGTCACCCTTGTAACGGTAATCGGGTGTCCATTTGGATTTTAAATGCAAGATCTTATCTAAGTGGATCTTCAAAATAAAATTTATATATCAAGATTTACACATGTAGTAGAATTTACGAAATTAGAATTTATAAGGTCACCGGAATATGTTTAATGTAGAAATATTTTATTTTCTTGTTTTTAAACAAATCATTACATTGAATTACTTATTTATTTTATGTAATCTAT